CCCGATTTTTTAAGTATACTAAATAAATTTTCTAACATTTACCTAATTTTTCTAGATGTATAAAATTCCCTGCTACTACCCTAGATTAAAAGAATGTAGTTATGTAAGATTTGCAATTACGTAATATTTTAAGTTAAAAAAAAAATAATGCAGGAAATCTTTCAGCTTTGGTGGTTAGAAAAATAAATCAAAGTCCTTGACTTCAAAAAAATTACATGTTTAACTACTACAAGAAACATGCTTAAAATTAACTGCATACTAAAAAATTATATCTGATGATTATGAAAAACTGTTCTATAAATAATTATAATGCATTTATTGAGGAATGATGATTATGCCATTTGAAAGCATTTAAGATATGGAATTTTGTTAATACATGAGAATTAGATAAGAATATATTAAAAATTTAAAAATGCTTTATAAGGATGAGCAAATATTACTTGCAATTGTCGGAGTGAAAAAAATCATAGTATGACACACATAAATAACATGAATACCATTGTTTTAAAAATAAAAAAGGATGATACAGTTGAGAAAAAAGGGGATAAGTAACATTGATATTATAATGAATAAAATAAAGTAAAAATATTTTTACAAAGCTCTTCTATGTATATTCATTTTGATGTTTATATTTGTTAGTACAAAACAAACTTAAATCCTTAAATGTTACTGAAATTTAGAGTAATGTTACCTAAAATTTTTTAGTATTAACCTATAAGCAGCAAACCGAAAATCAGGTTTTTTTTTTTTTGATTTGGTGTAAAATTATTTTATTACATACAATTTAGTAATAATTTTTGAAACTTTAAACTTGCATGCAAATATAAATGAAAACTTAAAACGAAAATATTTTTTAAGTTAATAAATTTCAAAAGATTTAAATGGTAAAGGTTGCAGAATTTAAAACTAACCATTCCAAGATGGATTATACACCACTAGGGGTTTTGTCCTAGTCCTCTGTGGTTGAGCAGCAGAGTTCCTTGCTTGCTGGGTTGAAGGAGTATTAGTAATAGAATGTTGACTACGAGAAGATGACTGTTGTGAACTAGATGAAGATGAGTATGACTTTTGTGAAGATGCAGTTGTCACAGAATGTCCTGGCACTGACGATGACATTAGGGAATGGTATGACTGGCGTTGGACATATGACGGTTGCACGACCATCACACGTTGGGTAGAATTAGAATTTTCGAGGTACAGACTTTCTGCCCTGGGTGATACAGAATAATTGGAGTGAGAAGACCGAGACATGTGCGGTTCAGTTCGACCGGGGGGTCTTCCAGCATCCATTACATATACAGTCTCTCGTTTAGATCTTCGCTGTGGAGCAACAGGCTCAGACCGAGAATCGTTGGATATCGCATTATGATGAGATGTGGAATTTGCTACCTTTTTGGAACTTATGTTCTCCTTAGTATCTCCATTCATTACCGCATTTGAACATATCTGAAAAAGTTTAAATAATTCATTTAATAACTTTTGAAAAGTTGATTGAATTTTTGGAATACATAAAATATTTCACGAGATAGAATATGCGGATTAAGACATTTCAAACTATAAAGTGAAAAAGCACAGTTTCAAAAGAAAAAAATACAATAATAATAAGTTTATTAATCATTATTACAAAATGTAAGGAGGTTATTATAAATAAACTTAGCTATGTAACACAGTCTGTGAAATTTATAAAAATACAGAATTATTGCCCTGCTATTGAATGATTTATTTTAGACACATTTTTTCTCAACTCACATTTAAGAAATTGCATACCATAAAAAAAAATTCCCACTATCAATGCATTGTTGTTATCAGTCACCGATCAATGGTATATTTTTATTTCGCACATTTGGTATATGATAGGTAAATGTAGCATAAATAACATAAAAAGTTATTAACTAATTTTGAAACATTTTTTTTTTAAATTATAAAATCCTGAGCAATTGAATTCTTTTCAGAGTCTTAAAATTAAATTTTACAGCTACGCATTTAAAAAGCAATATTTTAATAACATATTTAAGACATTGTTAAGTTATATCAACATAAGAAAATTGCACCAAACTTTTTAGATACTTTCAAAAAGTAAAATTTTTCTACACAAACAATACTTAAGAGATAAAAAAAGAAAATGCTTTAATATTTAGAGACAAAAAAGAAAAATCATGCTACTGCCTTAATAAGATGCAAAATGTGACATTTTTACATACGCACATAAAGAAATTGAGCATTTAAAATAAACAGGAATAAAAGCTCACTTTAATTCTTTTTAACACAGTAAATCAAATAAAAGAATGGTAAAAAATACTCATTTTTTCATTTATAAAAATTTCATCTTAAATATTTTTTACTTGAGATATTTTTAAAACTAACACACTGAGTATATATTTAACTTTGAGGGTCAACAAATCAAAATATAAATTTTAAAAAAGCATATAACATAAGAGAAAAAAAATGTCTATATAAACTTACTTTATCATATTGTTCTATAATAATTTCTAAAACTATGTTTCCAAACTTAATTTCCATAATTGCAGCTACAGTCTCTTCCTCGGGCCGCAGTAAAGTAGGACCGAAACAAACACCCAAATTTGAAACAGTCATAAGATTTTTGTCAGAGTGTTTGGCAACCCTAAGTAAAAGAATTAAAATTAATGGTCTTCTACATTGATGCAGGATTACCATTAAGTTTTTGGCGGAAAACATATGTCCCAGACTGTATTTAATACAATTTAACAATTTACAAAGTACTAAAATGTATAATTAACCATATTCTAATAACTGATAACTATGAATAAAGAATTTTAAAAAAATCATGCTTTTAAAAATTTAGAATAAATTTACAAGTACTCTCCTGACACATATTTGGGTTTTAACTTATTGAAGTATTTTTATTTGGGCACTCGATAAAAATTTTCTTATATACTAAAGTAAAGTAAAAACATCATATAAAAAAAATTGCAGACAGTATTTAATACAATTTAACAATTTACTAAAATGTATAATTAACCATATTCTGATTACTATGAATAAAGAATTTAAAAAANCAGACATTGCTAAGTTATATCAACATAAGAAAATTGAACCAAACTTTTTAGATACTTTCAAAAAGTAACATTTTTCTACACAAACAGTACTTAGAGATAAAAAAGGAAATGATTTAATACTTAGAGACAAAAAAGAAAAATCATGCAACTGCCTTAATAAGATGCAAAATGTGACATTATTACATACGCACACGAAGTATTATTGAGCATTTACAATAAACAGGAAAAAAAGCTCACTTTAATTCTTTTTAACACAGTAAATCAAATATAAGAATGGTAAAAAATACTCTATTATTTCATTTATAAATATTTCATCTTAAATATTTATACTTGACATATTTTTGAAACTAACACAATGAGTATATATTTAACTTTGTGGGTCAATAAAGCAAAATATAAATTATTAAAAAAGTATAAAACGCAAGAGAAAAAAAGTCTACACAAACTTACTTTATCATATTGTTCTATGATAATTTCTAAAACTATATTTCCAAACTTAATTTCCATAATTGCAGCTACAGTCTCTTCCTCGGGTCGCAGTAAAGTAGGACCAAAACAAACACCCAAATTCGAAACAGTCATAAGATTTTTGTCAGAGTGTTTGGCAACCCTAAGTAAAAGAATAAAAATTAATGGTCTTTAACATTGATGCAGGATTATCCTTTAAGTTTTGTACATTTTTGTTAGCCTAAAAAAATTTCCCAGACTTTATTTAATACAATTTAACAATTTACAAAGTACTATAATGTATAATTAACCATATTCTAATAACTGATAACTATGAATAAAGGATTTTAAAAAATCATTTTTTTAAAAATTTAGAAAAAATTCACAAGTACTCTCCAGATATATATTTGGTTGTTAACTTAGTGAAGTATGTATATTTGGGCACTCGATAAAAATATTCTTTTATACTAAAGTAAAGTAAAAATATCATATAAAAAATTGCAGACTGTATTTAATACAATTTAACAACTTACAAAGTACTAAAATGTATAATTAACCATATTCTAATAACTGATATCTATGAATAAAGGATTTTAAAAAATCTTTTTTTTTAAAAATTTAGAATAAATTTACAAGTGTTGATACAGTACAAGACCCGTTATCCGGAAATCGGAAAACCTAAAAACCGGAACGAAATTCAATAAATTTTCCCGCCATTAAAAAAAAAAATTTTTTTTCCTCATAAGATTTTAGGATTTTTCTTTCTTTTTTGAAAGTTGTTTACCTTACCATATTTTGGAAATAATCATTAGTGTATTACTTCATCGTTTTTTCTTCTTTTTAAGATTATTTCAAATTTTTTTTTTTTTTTTAGTTGGGTTTAACAATAAAAAAAAAACGGCTTTTTGTAGCGATTCAGAAAATCGGAAAAATCAGTTATCCGGAATAGCGATGGTCCCGATCGTTCTGGATAATCGGTTCCTTACTGTATATATTTGGTTGTTAACTTAGTGAAGTATGTATAAGTGTGGGCATTCAATAAAAATTTTCTTACATACTAAAGTAAAGTAAAAACATCATATAAAAAAATTGCAGTACAGTACTATATAAAAAACGTAATATTTTTAAAAAATATTGAATCTCTTACTTGCAAAGATGAGCAATTAGAATCTGCAGCATACAAAAATTTGGCTTAGGAAGTTTGTGGACAAGTGATCTGATTTCATTAACTCTTTCATCCATTTTATCTAGTTCTAAAAAACAGTTAAGTAAAATGAAATAATAAGAAAATAATGTAATAAGCCCATAAAAAACAAATTATATTTAGCACAATCAAAATAACTACATGATAAGCAAAACGATTATCTTTTTGATATAAATACAGTCTAACCTCTATTTAATGAAGTCGCTAAATTCTGAGAATAAGCTCGTTGGGTGCGTAGCCAGATTTTTCAACAAAAAATAAGCACCTTTTAAGTACTTTTTAAGCACTCAAAAAATATTTTTAATCACTTTCCAAAAAAAATAATACCATAATTAGGATCCGTGCAGTAATAAAAAATAAAAAAATTCTATCGTTTAAAATTCTTAATTTATAAACATAAAATGAATGAAATTTAAAATAGTTTTCAAAAACTTTACATAACTAGTTTCTGATAAATATTGCAGAGAAAATTGGGAAAATCGTGTACTTCTTGCAATTTAAAACGAAAATCGCAACGGCAAAGAAAAAATCTCTTTCTAACAGATAGAAAATTAAGCACTTTTTACAAAGCCCGATTAAAAAAAGCACCTCTAAAGGCTTTTTAAAAACGTAAATCAAAAATAAGCACCTTTTAAAAACGCTACGCACCCTGGTTATATGGAAAATTTGTTAAATAGAAAATCACCTTTTGAGATATTTAAACAACACGAAACAGGTTTTAAATTCATAAAGACCAGACATAATTAAAATAGCAATTGATACACATTTATCTTGTAAACTAGCATCTACTATTTATTTTATAAATCTTTACCATAAAAGAAATCTGCATGGAAAACAAGAATATAGCAAAACATTATCCAGTATTACACTATTATGCTACAGATATTTTCAACTAAAAAAAGCTAAATTTATGTATAAAAATATAGCTGCATTTATTATAAAAGTAATTTTATACATATATTATCACATGCGTTCTTAAGTTTAATTGCTACTGATAAAATCCATTAATTGTGTCTGAGTTTTTTGCTTGAAATGCAAACGAAAAGGGAAAGGGATTTTACTGCTTCCTCTAAAAGTGGCTTTGAAAATCAATTCAAGGCCATTTCCCCCATAAAATGCGTTAACAAGTTTGAAATATTTTGGGAAATAGGGAAAGTGGATCGCATAGACAAGTGTGTTAAATAGAAAATTCACTTTGCTATTATGAAGTTATTTTACAAAGAAATTTCCAAAATGTTTTTGGTTCCTCGAAGAAAAAAAATCGCAAAATGGAGAAATTAGCAAAATGGAAGTTCATTAAATTTGAAGTCTGACTGTAATTACTTATCTAGTTGAGCTTTTTCCCACGAGATTAGTAATTTACGTTACATTGCATAATAAATAATTAGACTGAAATATATGAGATGCTCATAACTATAAAAAGTGTTAACCCTCAGTACATAGAAAATTGAATTTCAAACAACGTTCTTCTTAACAACTCCAAGAACTGAAAGCATCTTTACCTTTTTAAATAAGTAGGATGATCAGATTACTTAAATAATGAACCAATTAACTAGTCAACTTTAGTAAGAAATTTTGTGAGAATAAGAAAAAAAAGAGGTGGTAGCAATTATACATCTTAAAATCTATTCTGTTGGAGAATAAAATCGATTTTTCTCATTTCCTTACCTATCACTAGAATTTTAAATTTATCATATATATGTATGAATATAAAAAAATTGAGATATAGAAATTTTTTTTCTTCAAATTTTAAAAAAGAAGTTGGCTTGCGTGCAGACTGATTCACTTTTTAAATAGTCGGAGCAGCATATTAATATTAGGAGGTAGAAAGGCTTTCACTACTAGGAGGTGATGCACTTTTCCCATATTTAGATAACAGAAACAGTATCTTTTTCTCCTACATTTGTCGATAATCAAAGCTGGAAAAGTGCTAAATAGATGCTGTTGTAGTTAATTTACGTCGCACTAGAGCTGCACAATGGGCTATTGGCGACGGTCTGGGAAACATTCCTGAGGATGATCCGAAGACATGCCATCACAATTTTGATCCTCTGCAGAGGGGATGGCACCCCCGCTTCAGTAGCCCAATGACCTGCACGCGAAGTTGAGCACTTTACGGTAGAACAGTTTAACAAGGACCAATACCGCACACCCTCGGTCCCTACGCAGACTGATCCAAGTGATCACCCACCCGCACACTGACCGTAGTCAGTGATGCTTGACTTCGGTGATCTGCTGGAATGATCTTAATGATTGGAATGATTCGGTGATCTTAATGATCAGTCCACTGCGGGACTGTTAAATAGATAATAACTAGAGCCCGGATTTTCATGACCTAAAAAATCTCAACTAATGTCCTTAAAAAGTGAAAAAAATGCCCTTAAAAATGCAAAAACTGCGCAAAGAATGCCTTAAATAAAGTAAAAATATTGAATTAAAAAAATGTTTTGTTCTTTAAAATTATTATGAGTCATTTAAAAAATATAAAGCAATGCAATACTTGTTCTACGTTCATTAAAGTTTGAAAAATATGTTTTATATCCTAAAATAACAAAAAAAGGAAAATATATTGACACCAAAATATTTTTATTTTGTATAGAAACTTTAATGGATATAACAACTTCCATCTCATAATATTACTAAATATCAGAATTACATTGGATTATTAAATGTTTTTTGATAATTTGAAATGTAAACGAGCGTCTCTTGTCTGAAAGTAAATTTTCATTCCTGCAGAAGCTTCTTTCAACGTCTACTGATGTTATAGGTGCGTACTTGAAAAAGACGGTCTCACTTACTGACAATTCTTCTTCAATTTGAAAAGATTTTGCTTCACCTGTTAATATTCTATAGATTTTCTTCATTGTTTGGAAGCCAGTGTAATAATGAAAATTGATAAAAAATAGTAAAAATTGGAAAAAAGTAACAAAAAACTTTAAGAAATGCATTAAAATGCAAAATACGCCCCAAAATTTAAGGAAAAATGCCCTATAAATCTAAAAAAATGCTCTAAAAGACAAAAAATGTCTAAAAATGCAAAAAAATGCAAATGTCATCAAAATCCGGGACTTAATAATAACCATTCTTTAAAAATATTGAATTTTAATTTCAAAATTGTTTATTTTGTCTTATTAACTTTTAAATTTTTATAATCAAAACCAAAAGGAAAATAAAACGATATTGATGAAATAATCAAACATGATTGAAATGCTTTAATATTAAACATATTTAAGCAACTTTTCTTACATTATGCAAGTAAATCGCAATTAAGAAAAAAAACCTTTTTGGCTAATTTCCAAAAAAGTAATTCTAAATTAATATATAAAACAAACTAGTTTTGGTAACAGATGAAGAATAATTTTTATCAGTCTTATACAAAGAAAACAGAATTGCATTTTTATCAATAAATTACCAGAATATAATGAATATATAAATACATACTAGCAGCTTCTATAAAGGCACTGTGTAAACGGAATGTCATTAACGGTTCTGGAAGATTTCTGAAAGGATATATGAAATTTATTAGAAATGCAAAAATAAACAAAAGATCCTTAAATATTAGAAGATGGATGTTACCTAAAGTAGTTTTTTAAAGCACTAGTTATAGTTTTAATTTCCCACTCATCAGCATCATCTAAATTGATTTTTTCACCTTTTCGTCGATCTGGAAGAAGAAAAAAAAGAAGTTTCTTTTCATTCAAAAACAAATAACAGGGAGTTATTTCTTACTTGAAACGAAGTAAAAAAATTTGAAAAATAAATAGATAAATAGTTAACTCTTAAATTGAAATAGCCAAAATGGCAATTGTAATCAATAGATTAGTTAGTAGTTACTTTAGAGGCAAGGGTCAGAAATGGCACTACTGCATTAAATAAATAGAAAATTATGCTTAATAGAATTTTTTAAGAAAAGGCAGGGGTAAGGAAGATAAAAATATCAAATAATATGTGTGTTTTACTTATGTTCTATTTTACACACATCACCTAACCATAGACTACCTTACCCTGTTTATCATAATCTTTCAATGACCGTGGTAAGAATGTCACTTAATTTTGATACCGCTCAGATGACATAGACAACACCTGAGCAGCAACCCTTCTCTGCACATGTACCACAAGCTACAAGATGACTCTTAGCCATGGCAGATTTGATATGCTCCTTGCTGTATATACATGTTGTTTATTTAGTGGGGTGCCAGGATCGAACTCACAACTCTCAGCTTTCCATCAACAGAGAGAGTGACAAGGGCGCCAGCAGAATAATATAAAAGGGGGTGTGACCCTCTAACAAACTACTCCCCCCCCCAAAAAAATTTAAATATTCTGTTATTACATTTTGTTTTGTTTTTACATATACTTTCATCTGTTAATTTTCTTCAAGATATGTTTCTTCATTGTTAAGATGTTTAAAAAAAGTTCGAATTTCTTGTACTTGTAAATTTTGCCACGAGAAACTCTATTGATGGCGCTGGCATAGCTACTGACTTTGAAACACAAATAACTACAAACAGTAGTTTCATATACTAAAGTGTCGGTGCACTCTTAACATTGGTATTTATTGTGTTGATGAAGTTTTACAGTTGCGAGAAGTCAGTGTTATACACCTTTGTTAAACTAAATAACTAATAGAAAATATAATATTATTTACATTTTATTAAATGAAATTTGAAAATATAGCTTAGATATCTGCCAAGTTTGTGCATGCTCAGAGTGCATAAGAAAAGAATCAAAGATGACTCAAAATTCATTGAAAAAGTTATAAACAGATTTGGACAGCGAACAAGACAATTACAATTCTTATTTGATTAAACAATTTTTTGTTATGTGTCAATAATTAATTAATTATTTGTTTTTGAATAAAAATATTTTTTCTGTATCTCTTTAATTGTTTAAAAAAAAAGTCAGGGGGGTGCAAGTGCACCCTCTTGCACCCCGCTACCGGCGCCCTTGGAGAGTGATGCCTTTACTGGACCAAAATGCCTATTTTACACATAAGCCTAAATGCCTAGTTAACACATTAGGAAACAATAAAAATTTGGTGAAGAAATGCAAAATTTTTCAGTGTTTTCTTTATGTATGATTTCTTTAGGGTATATAATTACCTAATGCCATTTGAGTAAGCTTATTAACTTTAGAGTTAACACCAACTAATCTATACAATCCTTCATCATCCAAGCCTCTGATTTCTATAGCATCAATGCATTGCTGAACAAAAAAGAATCCCACTTCATCAAGATAATCTGTAAATAAATGAAAACTCTTTAAACAAATTTATTATACAAAAATCATATTGAATACAAAAATGTTTAAAAAAAATTATTGTATGCTGAATGAATGTTTATAAAACAATCCTTATTTCGAGATTGATTTCATAATTTTTTTAAAGCTTGATATAACCTAGTAACTTCGAACCCAGAAAACAAGAAGAGCCCAACAAAAAATTGCTCTGATGGCACACTTATTAAATGAGGTAAATTACATCACATTATAAAGTAATATTAAATTTTCCTTTTTGAAACGCAATTTTATTAGTAAAAGATTAATGCAACAGGTAACAAATAGAAATAATGCATTAAATATAAAAAATAATGATAAAAACAATGCAGACTTCAAGTGACCTTCGAATTCTCTTTAAAAAAAAAATGCTTTTATAAAACTATTGCTAAGAGAAATTCTGCTCTCAACTGCTCAAAGAATATCTTACCTTTATTGTGCATACACAAACAATGCTAAGATAATGTAGTTTGCATAGTTGCATAGATAAAATCAATATTTTGATACATTTTAAAAAATTTTATAGAAAGTAAGCTTTATGAATTTTGGTTGATTTTTTTTAAAATAACACATCACTCAGTTACGGGAAATCTAATGTTAAGTTCCTAACAGAATGTGTGGTCAGTTTTCAAGGATTCCACACATGTTATTTGCTTGCGTACGGTTAGTTTGTTGTGTTAAGCTCTTTTAAAGCTTGTGAGTCGTCAGTCCTTCGTGTTTAAAAACAACCTAATTGTACGCAATATGTTCTGCAAGAGAACTTTTCTATGTTTTTGTTCAAAACAAATATGCACATGATGATACCTACTACTCTACTCTACCAGTCATATTCAACTAATCTTGTTTAAATACCATTAAGCTACCAACCCGGGGGTATTTAGAGGGGGAAGAGAAAATGCCGGTATGAACTTGTACTACATTGCTTAAGCATACATATGCAAAACTTTGTATCTTTAGCTAGATTTATTTGGATATAAAAATTACAATTGGATATTTTTTTTAAATAAACCACATAAGAGGTGTCCCACACAAAAACCACATAAGAGATAATTTAAAAAATCAAATAAGGAAAATAAAACAGAAATAATAATGTATAGTTTGCAGGAAACAAATGCATATTGATAAAAACTATGTAACAAACTATGTAAATGTACAAACTATGTACAAAATGTATGTAAACTATGTACAAAACTATGTAAAACTATGTATTGACAAAAACTATGCAACAATTTTTGCAAAATAACTAATACAATAACATAACGCTAAACTGTATTGCTGAGCTACGCAGCAGAAATCATTGTTTCAGAATTTTTTCAGTCAGAATTGCCATGTGCTGATGAGTTTCATAGCTAATTTTAGTACTTAGGGAAACAGATTTTCTTTTTCCTAAGCAGAACAAAGCAAATCGAGTATCTATATCTCATTCTCTTTTCTATAATTGATTTTTTAAATTTTCATTCATTCTTAGACATTTTGTATATGCATATCATTAGATAACATATTATTCATTAGTTGTAAAAGAAGCTTAAATAAATAACACATAAAACATTAAATAAAACCACTTTTTCCAAAGAATATTAAAAGTTACATAAGTTTAAGTCATCAATAAATAAGGAATGTAAAATAAGGAAAGAATAAAATGTAAAAATGAATACAGAAACAATAAATAATCTTACACTCTTCTTGCTTTGGTAGTTTCCCAGTTTGACTGTAAGCCTAAGGAAAGAAGAATACAAGCATGACTGTATAAAACTTTTAAATAAAACGAAAATTGAAACTAAATTATGCAGTGAAATAATGAAACAAAGATAAACTTATACACATATTTTTTAATTTTCAGTAACCAATGTAACAAACAACATTTTAAATGCTGGAAAATATCAGACTAAATAGAGCAAGTTTTTAATATACATTTAAAAAAAACTTTATCCTTATCACTTTAATACAATAAGTAATAATTTTTATATACAAATTACAGCTGTGAGACTTGTGGTATTTCTAAACAGAAGCTCCAATGAAATCAAAAACATTTCTATAAAATTACAACAAATTATAAAGAACTTGAAAATATACACTGGTGTTAGAAATTAAGAGAATTTGCAGATTTAGTCGATTATTTCTAAACTACGGGACCGATTTTATTGAAATTTGATATGTACATACATTGATACAATTCAAAACAAATAACCATTCAACAATTCTAATACTCACGCATGATCATGTGCAACACTCGTTGGAGCCTGAAGGTATAAAACAGCGGTAGCAGAATAATTTCAAAAAATGGGTTAATAGAGGGGTATGGTCCTCTCTTACAGATATACAGACCTTGAAGTGTAATTTCATACTTGAAGTAAGACAGTTAATCATTTCCTGTGGCAATTGACCTGAATTGTCCTGTAGCAATTTCATACCTTCATACTCCAGCGGTTGTTGCGCACGATCATGAGTGCGTATTACAGTTGTTGAATGGTTATTTGTTTTGTATTGTATCAACGTATGTACATATCAAATTTAATTAAAATCGGTCCAGTAGTTCTAGAGATAATCGACCAAGTCTGAAAATTCTCTTAATTTCTTACACCAGTGTATACATAAAAAAAATTCTTATGTTAATTTCCTTTAAGTCGAATTAATTTTATTTCTGACAAACATATATCTGAGTGAAGATTAAAAAAAAAGTGCTCACTGGTTCCTTTCCGTCCATAGCATCCATCCACAAATGTCTATCTTCTTCAGATAATGCTTGAAAAGTTAGAACACCTGGTTTGTCTTCACATATGATGTCAAAACAGAACCTTTTATCAATGGAGTCTGACATACGCCTACAAGATTTAATAAATGACTATCAGTTAAACAAAATGAAATAAAACTTTCCCCTCCCATGAGGCAAGTTTAAAAATCATGGATGGAAAAAAATCTAGTAGATTTTAGAAAATATAATAAACTTCTTGATAATTGTTACATAACGTACAAAATATTTTATACATAGGGAATTTTAGAATCATCAAACTAGGAAAACTGCAATATTTTTAAGTTATGATTATCTATATTATATAAAACGCTAATACGTACGTATGTATCAATAAAACCGATGATATTTCTTTTCTCGCGTTGGCAACAGTTTTCATTTTTAATTGATAGGCTTCGGCGCGCAAGAGCACGTAGTGAGCATCATATGGCTAATCTATATTATATAAAACGCTAATATGTTTTAATTGATAGGCTTCGGCGCGCAAGAGCATGTAGTCAGCATCATATGTCTAATCGGGTGAATTCTCACCGAATTCTCACAAAATTATCTTCATCGAAGCCGATGCTTTACATCCAGTGTTCAGTACTATTTCATATTGTTTTACAACACATGGTTTTAGCCGTCTGGTGGGAAAGACTTTGAAACAAAACTTACAACAGTTACTTTTCTCAACAACTGAAATTTAGAATAGCGTGATTAAGAAAAATATGTGAACTGTTTGCAATTTCAAATTAATATTGAAATGCACAGATTTAGAATTTTCTACAGTGAAAAGTTTTCGGAACTTCAGTGTTCAAAAAAGTATACAAAAGCTAGACGTTAAGAACGTATCCGATGAGCGAGCATTGGATTGCGAAGCAATCCGAAATGAACTGCGAAAGCAGTTCCGGGGGTTGGAGAGGGCCAGCGAGCAGGGGGCGAAGCCTCCTAGTCATTAAATAAACTTCAAATGTTATGCATTATGTTTATTCATAATTTTGAACAGTAATAGGCATTTAATTCATCCAAGATAGTTAAAAAATTTAAAAAGGGAATTCTGAATAAAAATAAACTGAAAATTTTAAAACAAAAAAAGTTTTGAATTGATGTCTATAAATGTGGAGGGCTTCATTATGTACTAGTAATACTTATTTAAATACTCAAGCAAGCATCAACTATAAAGTGTTTAAATATTCTGAGCAAAAATTCTATTTCAAAAGGGATATTTTTTTTTAGAAAATTTACTCAATTTTAGGGAATTTTCTAAAATGTACAAAAACTAGGAGAATTTTTATTAAACCAGTAGACCATGAGAAACTGGCAAAATCCAGTAGTCTACTGGTAATTTTTATTTTACGTTAAATTTTAGTTGAATATCGGGCGCCAGTTATGATTTTTTAGTTGAAAGAGATGCCTATCCCTACATACAATACAATTAAAAAAGGCTAAAATAATCAGATCAAAAATATATAAGTTCTCCAAATACTACTTTTTAATAAAAATATATGGTTATAAGACTTAAGATATCGAAATAAAAAAGTGAACTAGAAGTAAAATATTTTTTCTTAATTTTATCATTTGTGGAAAATTATTTTATTTGTACTTAAATAACTAATAAAGAAAATTCAAAATAATTTTAAAAATTACCTAATGCATTCTTTAAGCACAAAAGTTTCCGGCAAGGCCTAGAAATATATAAAATTATCATAAAATTTCCGTCTAATAATGCACATAAAATAAAAATAATTAAAAAAAATTTATATATTTCTTGTACATTCAACCAATACTCAATATTGAACATTCAATATTTTTTACACAAATGACAAATTAAATTTTTAAAAAATAATTATGAGATCAAATTTCATAAAGTAGCATAAACATTTCAATACCCTAAAGAAATCTTAAATCCATCCTGAGTTTTATTGATAAAACAAATATTTCTAAACCGAAATCAACTATAAAATGAATTATTGTAAATAATAAAATATTAATAACGAAAGTGTAAGACAATCACTATTATTAGATTTTCTACATGCAACACATTTTACTCACAATTTTCCCAGTAGTTTGAGAATAAGGTATCATAGTAAATTTGTGATTTTCTTTTTGGTACTGGCAAAAATGCTTTGTCCATGTTGTACCCAAAGCTTCTGCAAGAGACATTACATAATAACTACAACATACATAAACATGTAAGTTTCTATTAATATTACTATAATAATTTATTTTGAAAGGAAAACAATAGACAGGTCGCTTAGCCAAATTATTCAACAAAAATAAGTACCTTTTAAGCACTTTAAAAATATCATAATTAGGCAGGGGAGGGAAGTTTTTGACATTCGACGGTTTTATCCTGTTTTAACCGTCATGTCAACAAAAAAAAAATTTGCCTTGTTTTTGACAATTGTCAAAAATTATGAATCATGTAAAACGAATGGCGTTTTCCAGGGGTAATTGCGAGTCAAACTCGAAAATCCGGAAAATTTCTTGTGTAAAATCATTAAAGACGCATAATGTCTTTATAAATTTAAATCATTGATATTTTCAAAACTTTGAATTCTAAACAAATTATATACAGCATAATTTAAATGAATAATTATGTGTAAGTTTATTTTTATCTCTAATCACATTTATTATTCTACAAGAAAAAATATTTACAAATGAAAAATGCCAAGTATAAATTCTAATTCTAATATTTTTAAATAAAATGTAAAAGAATTTTTATACATAAATGTGATCGATTTCTTGAAACTTCTGGACCTAAGATTTCCGGAAACTTCTGGAGCACAATCACCTCTGGTTTTCATACGCTGCGGACAGACTATACGCCGAAATAGATGGGGTTGAATTAATTATGAAAACGTTGAATAGAAGAATGTGAACTGTGTCTTTTTGCATAATTCGAAGTGAAAATCATCATTGTAAAGGAAAAATCTCATTTTGAAAAAGGGAAAATTAAGCACTTTTTAAAAACATCCAATGAAAAAAGCACCTTTAAGGGATTTAAAAAAACGAAAATAAGCACCTTTAAGCCCTTTTCAAAAACGCTACGCCTCCTGATAGAAAATTATCAATAAAACACACTAAAAGAGCATATGTGAATGGTAAAAGTGGAAGACTAAACTTATTTAAACTATTAAAAAAGTTTACCTCTACTTACTCTTTTCCATCAGGTAGAGATATCCCTGCCTAGTAAACATTTTATTTAGTGATCCTGAATCTAGTGGATTCTAAAATAAAAACAAATCAAAGATAATTACTATTTACCCATTCTAATATTTTAAAAAATAAAACCAGAAAAATCGAGTAATTTCTGATAAAAAAAATATATTTAANGAAAGTTTTTGACAATTGACGGTTTTATTTTGTTTTAATCGTCATGTAAAAAAAAAAACATTTTTGGCATTGTTTTTGACACTTGTCAAAAATCCTGAAATGTTGAATCATGTGAAACGAATGGCGTTTTCATACGCTACGGACAGACTATATGCCGAAATAGATGGGGTTGAATTAATTATGAAAACGTTGAATAGAACAATGTGAACTGTCTTTTTGCATAATTTGAAGCGAAAATCAACATAGTAAAGGAAAAATCTCATTTTGAAAAAGGGAAAATAAAGCACTTTTTAAAAACACTCAATGCAAAAAGCAACTTATACATTATGGTGAGACTATACGCCAAAATAGAATTAATTATGAAATTGGTTGAATTAATTATGAAAACGTTGAATAGAACAATGTGAACTGCGCCTTTTTGCATAATTCGAAGCGTAAATCAACATAGTAAAGGAAAAATCTCATTTTGAAAAAGGGAAAATTAAGCACTTTTTAAAAACACCCAATGAAAAGAGCACCATTAAGGGCTTTTAAAAAACGAAAATAAACACCTTTAAGCACTTTTTAAAAAACGCTAAGCACTCTGATAGAAAGTTATTAATAAAACACACTAAAAGAGCATATGTGAATGGTATAAGTGGAAGACTAAACTTATTTGAGGTTTTAAACTATTAAAAAAGTTTACCTGTACTTACTCTTTTCCATCAGATAGAGATATCCCTGCCTAGTAAACATTTTATTTAGTGATCCTGAATCTAGTGGATTCTAAAATAAAAAGAAATCAAAATAATTACTTATATAGCCATTCTAATATTTTAAAAAATCAAACCAGAAAAATCTAGTAATTTCTGATAAAAAAAAATAAAAAAAATATTTCTATAAACTAGGGGTACACAACTTTTTTGAGTGAAGAGCCACTTGCACAGCACATAGATTAACGAAGGGCCGCACGCATATTTAGACATGTTAGCGGCAAATATGATGGTTTTTATCTAAACACTAGTGTTCTAAGTACCAGATATTTTAATCAGTAAACTTAATAACATATTTGCAGAAAATTAAATGCTTTTAATTATTTGAATTTACTTAAAACTAAAAACGATGATACATTTTTTAAATTTTTTTTTCTTCCATTTTTCACATTAATTAATTTATCAATATATAAATACATAAATATTGGGAGGGAAGATATAAATTCTGACCAAAAAGAAGCTTACAGAATGAAAGTGCAAAAAAAAAAAAAAAAAAAAAAAAAAAAAAATAAAAAAAAAAAAAAAGAAAAANTGAAAAAAAAAAAAAAAAAAAAAAAAAAAAAAAATTTTTATAAAGCAATATAAATTAAAATGAAATTATTCAATACTAGAAAATGTATAATGTTGAAGCAAAAGCCAAATTAAAAGAAATTTTTACTGAGCTCAGAAGCTCCCGCGGGCCGCATGTGGCCTGCAGGACATAGGTTGTGCACCCCTACTATAAAAGCTGTAATGATTTAAATGATAAAAATTTCAAACAAAAATGATGCATTAAAAACCACTTACTTCTAATAATCTGAACATAAGATGTTTTGCTTCGCAATGAGTTGCATCAAAATTTTCTCTTGTCTGAAAATAATTAAAAAAGAGAAAATTGTTATTTTCTTTTGAGAAACGATAACTATACTAAAATGAAAAAGTTTGTTTATATGTTACCGTGAATGACCAAAATCAAGAGAATGTCGACTTTCACCGGTGAATGTCCAAAATATTTGTTATATCCGATTTGATATTAATTTATCCGTTGATATTATTAATATTTATTCCATATTTTAATATCTGCTGAGAATAGATTAGGAGAAACATCAGTGTTTGTAGTACTGGTTAAATGCATACTGGGGGAGTGGCACTTGACCTTAAAAAAAACATTGATGTAGGGCAGTGTTTCCCAAACTTATGACTTTTGAGTACCCTTTCTCAATTTTTCGTAAAGCTGCATACCACTAATAAAAAAAATGAATTTATTTTTTACTATAAAAAATTGCACAAAAGTTAAAAATCACAACTGGCTGTTGATACCACTCATTATTAACTCTGCAAAAAATAGCCAATTGAAAATTACGTTATCGTAAATTTTCATGGCTAGCTTTGTTTTTAAATTAAAAATTTAAAACTTTCGTTGCATGATATTTTGCTTAAGAACACGTAACCCCTTTAAACTGTTCTCTTATCCCTTGGGGTTCGCAAACCACACTTTGGGAAACACTGATGTAGGGCATACTGGGCAAATGTATCCCGGGCAGTGGCACTTAACTAGACCTAGTATATATTTCGGACATTTACCAAAGCGACTATGTGATAGTCAACATTCACCGGTGGAAGTCAACAACCACCAATTTTAGTCAGTCACAGTAACATATCCATCTCTCAATGCTACAAACCTAGAAAAGCCAATGATATATTAATTTAAAGTTAGATCTACTTTAAAGCTACTGATATTTACAAATCACATCAAAATTTTACTTTTTTTCTTCTTTCAATTAATCCTTAATGGGGTGCTTTTTACATGCTATGTTAAAATATTTCAGGATGAGATTGATTTATAAATAAATAAAAAAAGCTTTTAGCTTATTACCTAAAAAATTTTTTATTTTTAAGATAATTTTTTTTTGTGTGGCGGAAAGATTAGTGGGATTTTCGAAATTTTACTTGTTGTAAAGAATTTAACGTAAAATACCAAGTTCATAAGTTTCGTGTTTATTCACAAATTAACTCGATGATAAAATGAACAATCGCATAACGCACAGCAGAAAATACCTCCCCAGTGTTTACCTCTCTTCTTAACCCAATGCTAATGTTTACTGTCACCTACATTTATGTAAACCAAGCTCTTCATTGGGTTTTTCTTTTCGTCTTTAGTATTTTCTAAAGTCATAGTTAGACAACCACTTAAATCATAGGTGAGAAAATTCCCCATCGACATTTAAAAATGAATGAAATTGGTGGGAAATATACTTCCCACGGCCTTACAAAGGGTTAAAAAGAAGTTTCGTACAATAGTCTCTACTTAAAAAATAACAAAAAATAAATTAAAATTGCAGATAATGAAATACCAAATCTTACTGTAAATTTAACTATTTCATTTTTTCGTAATGACTAACATACACTAGATAAAATGTTTTGGAGATTAAATTATAGTGCTACATAATGTAAACTCCAAAACATTCAAATTTTCTTTTAGTTAAATTGTTTTTTCTGAAAGAAAAGAAAATGTTTCAAAAAATAAAGTAAACAGTAAACAGAATGAGAAAGATTTGACTAAAAGAAAAACAAGCTGCATTAAAAAAATTTAATTTAAAATTATTTAAAAGTTTTTATTACTTTAAAAATCAGTTAAAAATTTAATTAACATTTAAACTTGAAAGCTTCAATTAATTTGGGTGGGAAATATTTAAATAAAATTTACAGAAATAAAACGTTATTTTTTCCCTTGCCATAGTTTTATAACAAAGATCATAGATAAAACATTTAACAGACAATTTATTTCATCATTCCCTTAAAGAATATAAATAATTAACAAAACCAAAAATATTTAGAAAAAAACTCATACCTCAAAAATATGAACATAAATATTTATTGTTACATCAAATGGCAGTTAAAGTCATAATTACAGGTATAAAATTTGCAAGCATGTTTAAAAATATTCAAGATGCAAAAATTTCTTATTAAGAGCGGAACAAATGTTATATATAAAAAAAGAATATTATGTTTTTTATAATAAAGCTTTGAAAGGAACTCATCACATTTAAGCGTAAATATTTAATATTAGTAAATAAATATTAGGTAGTAAAAACCATAAAAGAATTTCTAATGTTTTAGATTTAACTTTTTAAATACAAGCATTCAAATTTTAATGTGGTACATGTATTATAAAGTATCGAAGATGGTAAATTACCAAAAACAAATTTTATAGAAAATAAAAAAGAAAGAAAAAAGGAAACTACTATCAAAGATTTCTGATGGAGGTGTTTACAAAATGATCTTAAATTAATGAAAATCTGTGATTTTAATATGGAGTAAATATAAAAAAGTTAAAAAAAAAAAAAGAAAATAAAAAAAAAAAAAAAAAAAAAAAAAAAAAGGAATTTTGAAGATTAGTATTTAAGTGTCCTGATTATTTTATTTGAACAACACTAAACAAAATTATAGATTGTGTTTTATGCCATATTCTGAAACAATTGATTTTTTTTCTTCTTGAAGAGTCAAATTCGAACAAATCAGTAAACAAATTTATAAAATCAAATTTGCTCATTCGTGAAATATATTCCCTAACTTCATTTTGATAAACTCCAAATTGACATTTTTACAAAAAACTTATATTTTCTTTAAAGAAAAAAAAATTGAGATTAGGTTAATATATCAGATAGAAAGAGCTGTTTTGGCTTTCTTGATTTAGTTTTATTATCTGATACATTTTTGGGGGTACAATGTTTGATATTCTATTTCTGAACTTAATAATAATTATGTTTTAGCACTCATATATAGTGAAATTTATCACAGTTTATTAATATTGAGAAAAGTCACTATTACAATAAAACACAACAATGATAAATAATTTCAACACTAATATTTCAACACAGATAAGGCAATAGAATGGATAAAATAACCCTGGAGTTATATAGGATGAAAGATAACAACACCATCTGATGTAGAAAAAGAAAAGAAAAAGACATTCACACAGCTAAATACAAAATTTTAATCCCTATAAACTTGAAAATGTTTACCTTCTGCAATCTTTTCTGCAGATCTGTTGTGAATGATTTAAAATCCTTAGCAACTTCATGACCTGAAATTAGAAATCAATAAAATATAATTAAATGTTTAATCAACACTGCTTGATGTAATTAACTACACGTTATTTAACTCAACAAATATTTTTACCTTGATGATAAAATGTCAGCCAACCATACATAAAGCTCAAAATCTAAAATAAAAAAGCAAAATATAAAATAAAATAAATTATCGATATACATTTTTACATTTCTTTAAAACAAGATATTCAAATTAACTCTGCATAATAGAAAATGTAACATCACACACAAAAAAATTGTTAATTAAAGTAAATTTTAACTACTCAAGTATAAGTGTTAGCACTAAAGTGCCAAGTTCAGTTATTCTGCAGATTAACTAGGCTGATATGGAGACCTGAAAATTTAAACTTTCAGTCAGTAACCAGTGGCTGGTAGACTCTAATAACTTTGTAGCTTGTTTCTCCTCAAACCTAATGAGTCATATTCTCAGTGGTAGACGGATCATGGATAAGAGTCCCCTTGCAGTCAGGCTAACCGTGGGAGGTTCTCGTGGTCTTCCTCTCCATGCAACGCAAATGCGGGTTAGTTCTAATCAAAAAGTCCTCCGCGAAGGCAAATTTCTCCCAATACTTGATCCAAGAGTTCCCTTGTCTTCTGGATTGGGTTCAAAATTACAAGGCTACGGAGTTGAACATCAGTAGTCGTATACCCAAAAATTGGATCGGCTGTTCAACGAAGGTTTAAAAAAAAAAAAAACTAATAAGTTGCTGATCAATATCGATAGTTTATTTATTTATTTTTTTTAATTTAGTAGCCCATTTTTTGCAAAAACTTTTTCTTTTGCTTGGATTAAGTTTCATTTATTTTTTAAAACTCATATTAAAAATAATCGACGTCTATAAAAAGTTAATTCAATAATAAAAAGTAACATAATATCTGACAAAATTTAGTTAAACATGCTGACTTTAAAAAGCTTTATTTAAAAATACTTGCAGGAACACCAGAAGCGTTTCTGTACGTAACATAATGTTAATTATTTTTCGATGTCTAAAGAATCAAGCGCTAATACAATCAACAAATTATTTGATAGAAAATCAAACAACAATCAAATAATTATAATTTTTAAAAAAATCGAACGTTTAAAACTAAATGAGGATATTATAAATAGGGAAATGGGAGAAACAAACTTTCGATTTATTGCAGCGGTTAATGTACAAAAGAAATTTAAAAAAAAAAAAAAAAAACACTCTGAATAACTTTTGATCTAATGATTGGATCATCGCGTTCTAGGACTTAATCTTAATGGATAGAGAAGGTGACCTCAAATATACTAATTCATAAGAGCAGATGATATTTTAAGTTACGAATTCTGACACAAAAACGCACTTTCTCGCTATAAACATACCTTTTTTTTCCCCCGACGGATTCGGATATCAGATCCCCGAAATATCTGGAGAACTTTTTAAATGAACTGAAAAGTCTTTGCACACAACTATAAAATTTGTTTATCCAAGTATAAGTCCATGTAAAAATTAACTTTTAGTAAACATTTACTATTTTATTATTTTATTTAAGAATGGTCGAAACAATTTTTGAACGGTAAGGTACATAATTTGCTGCATAATTTTAAAAAATATAATTAAAAAGTTCTCGAGATGAGCAAAAGGTAAAATTAAAATTAGGGTTCCTAACTATGAGGACCATATTTCCCAGTTGCGTTTACCTCCTATATTTCGGAGGTCAAAAATCAAAATCCATTGGGGGGGGGGGATATATGTTTATTCTGAGAAAGTACGTTTTTGTGTCTGATTTCGTAACTGCTATAACGTGAAGATCCGATTATTAGATCGGAAGTTATTTAAGGTGGTCCATTTTTTTTTCACTGTGCACATTACCAAAGTAAAGTGTGGAAGATCCGCCATTCCGTACTTTAAGAGTTAAACAGCAGATCAGCTAGACAATGTGCATATTAACGACTTTCGAGATTTATCAGCAACAAAAAACACTGAAAAACTAGTTTCTAAGTATTTATTTATTTTATAGTAAGTTAGCAAAGAATTGAATTGATACTTCCAATTTATTACCTTAATAAATAAAAGAATTGTTTCCCCTATTTCTAGAGAACTAATAAATTATAATGGAAATTAAGAAAACAGAATTTAATTATGAAACAATACTTACATTAATTATTAACATACAATTTTGGAGAAGAAATTGCTTTCTTCTTAAATTACGAAACAAACAAAATAATTTTTTTTTATATTTCATACCAAGATAAAAGAACTCTCAACCTACCGTTTCAACAAATTCAAATTTTTTTCGTTCTTGTACTTCTTGCAGAAATAAAATATACTCTAATGAAGCTCGAGAAAACTGTCGTTGTTCTGTTTCTAAACAAGCATCAGCCTAAAAGAAAATGCATTTATTTTTAAATAAGTTTATTGGCTGATTAGTTTAAAAACATTTAGAAAGGTAATTAATAAAGTAACATAAATTTTAACTATATTTATTAACCATTACACTATTTTTTTATTTCTTTAATGTAAAAAAACATTTAAGCAGCTTAATATGTCATAAAAAGTACAATTAAATCTTCTTTGGTCATTCTAAAAATAAAAAAAATTTATTTTTTAGTTTTTTAATATTAATTTTATTAATGTTATATTTTGGCTCGAGTGTTTCAGAAATAGTAGATATAGATAAAAATAAAAATATGTTTACAAAACTTTTATAGTTTATATATTGTTCTTTTTAATATATTTATTAACCATTACACCATTTTTTTTATTTATTTAATATAAAAAACATTTAAGCAGATTAATATGTCATAAAAAGAACAATGAAATCTTTCATGGTCATTCTAAAAAAAACATGTTTTATTTTTTTAATAATAAGTTTATTAATATTATATTTTTGCTCGAGTGTTCCAGAAATAGTAGATAAAGATAAAAATATATTTACAAGACTTTTATAGTTTATATATTGTTCTTTTTTTTACTAGACAAATTTGAACAAATTTACTTAAACATCTCTTAAATACTTATTAAAAAAATTATACCTTATACAGTAAATTAAGCAATGTTACACTTTGATTTATCAAAAATATAATAAGCTTAAAATTTTTATCCAAACCTCAACTCAAACTTGAAATTAAAATTCTCAAAGTGTTTAAAGTAAGTAGTTACAGGAGATATTTAAAGTAGAGTTAAAAACTTAAATTATGTTTTTTAGTGATTATCATTAATAATATATAACTATTAATAATTTAGAATGCATTATTAAAATAATTAATTATTTTTGTAATAAACATTGATTTTTATCCGTTTATGCTAAAAGTGAAAAGGCATAATTCTGACACAAACTGGTTTTGGTGATTTTTTAAAGATTTATATTACTTGATATATTTCATTGATATCTTATGTTTCATTGAACAATGGTCAAAAAAAAATTTGAACAGTAGGATGGTTGGATGATAGCACAATATACACATTTTTTATATCACCTGAAGTGACATCTATTGGTTACACAAATTAAAAGAATTACATATTTTTAATACAAAATAAAACAGTGCACAAGATTTCAGCCACCCTAATGAAATAAAAGAAACTACAGTTAAATTGATTTGCATATCTCTCAGATGTTGCGCATTTTTCTCAGTGGAAAAAGAAGGGGGACAGGATATCCTGGTTGGTAGGACACTGGGCCCATGTCCAAGCGGTAATGCGTTCGATCTCAGCCGGCCGAAGACTCCCTGGGTAGTAAATGGTGACAGATACACGTTAAATCTGTCGAGTCACCAAGTCCTCCATGCTCCCATAACAAATCATACCTCTGAGGGTACTGATCCAGGAGTTTCCTTGTTTTCCGGATTGACTCAAAATTACAAGGCTACGGAATTGAACATTAGTGGTCACAAACCCAAAACTGGGTCGGCTGTTCAACGACGGTTATAAAATAAAATAAAATAGGACGGAAAAAAAATCCCCAACTAGAAGAACTTTAGAAACTAAGAGCGCATTCTAGAGTACATATGATGATCAGACAGCGGGCACCATTTATTTTCTCAAGATGAATTTTATAGCAGTGATTCATACTTTTAAACTGAAACATTTATGTTTATCTTACTGGCACAACGGCGACCCAACAAAAGAGTAAATGACGGCTGCTATGGTAACCCCCGTCATAGGCTGGGATCCCTGATATAAAGTTTCTACGAACGAAAAAAATTAGAAATAGAAGAAAACTTTTTTTTTTTTGAGAAAAAAAAAATTGCACAGTGATAAAGTTTTCTTTTAACAAACAAACTGTGTTGTAATAAGTACTAAATTGTCATATATTTTTAATTGATTAAATTTTTTTTATAGTCAGGAGTCAGATTTTGTTCCCAACGCGAAACATAAAAGACAATCAATATTCCCCAAAATGACATCATTACATATTAGTTTTAAAAACAAGTAATAAAAAATTAAAAAAATTTAAAGTCAATTCCTACTTAGGTCAACAAAAAAACAGAAAAAGAATTTTTTTTTTTCAGCGATGTACACGCTTCAATACTGACAGTATTACTTCCTAAATTAATATCTTGCTAAGTATCTTATACAGGGTTATTCATAATTCCCTCCGCCTGTAAACGCCATTTTTCTTTACTGCAACTCGCTTCAGTAGTACATGTTACTGCCATCTACCGGCAACTTCTAAAATTAAAACTTGAATACTTTCGGAATAATTTCATATGTTCTTTTTTGCAATATTAGTCTTCGTGTTTTTACTATAACCCTTCGAAACCACGGAGGGAATCATGAATAACCCTGTATAAGAGAAATTGTTTTCTCCCATATAAAACTAAAATTAATTAACTAAATTTAATTAATGGATTAACATTTGAAAAAACTGTATTAACATCAAGTGCCATCTACTACAAGTTTAAAAAAATGTATTTCAATTTAAGTGGATGAATAAAAAGTATTTTATTGAGGATTGAAAATTTGAACAAGATATATAAGGAGAGTGAACTAATAATAGGAATTAAATAACATCCGAATTGGACTATTTTTAAAACAACAATTTTCAGGGCTTAAATATCAGATGCGTTTAGCTGAAAATATTAGATGTACTTGTACCATGCCAGATTTTCATTAACCGAATATTACCCGGGGTCGAGTGGGCCAGCATCCAAGGTTTCGTGGCCAAAATTAGTATTTCGATAAAATTTGTTTCAAAATTTGTATTTAGGGGTTTTTATGTCCAGGCAAATTGAATTCATAGTTAAAATTTTGAAATACACTAAAAATACCCAAGAAAGCAAAATGGCGGCAGAAACATGGCGAGCAAAAATAAAAAAAATAATATAGTACGTTTAAATAATTAAATATAGCAATGGAAATATAATAATTTTCGTAATTTTATATTAAAAATGAAAAGCAAATTATATTTCCGAAGTAATATTACAAAATAACGTGAAAACATGAAAAAAAAAACATAATTTTTTGCTTTTCAGTATATTTAGTTCATCTTTGCAATACAATACGGGCAAAATGGGGCAGGTTTTTTCGAAAGAAGAAACATCAAAGAAGACAACAAAAAAAAAAGTTTAGCTAATTTAATTACCTCGTGGAACTTTTTGGAACTAATTTTCGAAAGTCGCTCAAACATTGTAAAATGTCAAATGATAAGATATAAACTATAAGTTTATCAAGAGTATTAACTAATCCAACAAATTGAAAAATTGTACTATTATTTAACACTAATTACTCTGATAAAAAATGTAACAGTAAGGAGAAATTCCTACATATATTTCTGAAATAAAAATTTAAAAGTTACATTTAAAACAATTTTTTTAACATATTTTTCACTAAATTGTACTCTTGTCGGTCCAAAAAGTAAATTATAATGTTTGGAATGATTATGATTACTTAATTTGGGATATATTAAAACTGCTTATACATATTTTAGTTGAAAAATTAATTTTTTACTTTTGGCTAAAGATCATAGTCTTCTGGCCCACAGTAGGTCGGTAAAAAAAAATTATTTTTTTTACTACCCGATACCGGGTATACCCGGGCATGTTTACCAGGTTTCTAGTGCTGGGTAACACTCATTTATTTTCAACAGAACATTATTCAGAATTATAGTAATCTTAAAATAATTCAAACATGCAGTTTTGGAAATCCATGTATCCATCAGTTTCAGATTAACAATCAAGACTAAAATAACGGTTTATGTGCGGCATATTTTACTTTTGTGCACACATATAATTTAGGGAAATTTAGATAAAATGAACACCTTCAGGACAAAGAAATATGTTCGCTTAAGAGAAGGACATGAAAATTCAGAAATAGAATGCTGAAAACTATTTCAACTAAATTAATACGATAGTGTAATAAATACACAACTACAAATAATTATAAATAAATAATTAGATTCACATATATATGTAATAAAAAAAAAGAAAATTGAATGCCAAGTCAAAATTCAGATTATTCCTGTATTTGAATTGAGGAGAAAGAAGAGAAGTATTAGACCTTGACAATGATTCTTTCTACACGCGTTGGTTTATGCAATGAAAAATTTATTGGGTAGATGACATTGAAGTACTAATAATAGGACATTGATTTTCTTTAATAGAGGCTAAAATATAAGAACAGGGATACATAATTGAAAAATGGATAGCACCAGAATGAATAAAATAGTATGAAAGAGAAGCTGTCTGGTAATTATTGAAAAAAAAATGGGAACAAAATGTTAATTTAACAAAATTTTTATTTATTTATCCTAAAATACAGTTAATGCTTTTTCGATCCATCTAATTAATTACTTGAAGATCTAAATGTCTGATGAATATTGTTTAAATAATAGAGACGTTTGGTTTCAAAGCCCACTCGATTCGGTTTTTATTTCCCTTTTCAAAACTGAATCTTTCAGTTCTTTAAAAGTGCAATATTAATTTATCTTTTAATCTTATTAAATATTCTGATATAACAAAAATATTTACAAAACAAATTGATGCAAAAAAAAAAAAGTATTTATTCGAGATATTTCTTTTATTGTACATAAGTAAATAAAATATGCCAAAATTAAATGCAAATATCGAATTAAATTACAATAAAAAAGATTGGATACATAGTTTGGTACGACAAGAGCTGGAGTTGGCTATACTGCGGAAAACTAAAACGACATTGCGGACATTAAGTAGGGGTAGATCTAACAGTATTAAGCACTCAGGCAGGATAATAAAATCTGTGTTTGCATGAAGAAAAGGCTGAGTTTACTCAGAGGCTTAAAAGAAAGATACTTAAAATATTTTTCAACCCTAAAAGGTAAATATGCTTCGAAATATTGGAATATGCTGGATCTGTAACATTGAGAGCAGCTTGTAAATTTTGCGAAGAACTCATCAGAATTTAAGA